TATGCTTATAATAATTTGTACAGGTAGGGCAACCAAAAATAGACCTTTAAGAAGGCAAAAGGGTCCAATACATAGCTTTCAAGCTTATAATAGCCAATAAAGCCACTCCCCATACATGACAGATTCTAAATCAGGAAGAATTTTAAAAAAAAAAAAATTTCTGTTAAGTAATGAAGGAAATTATAAAAAGAATGGTTTAGCAAGATGAAATATGTACATATGAATTAGTATTGATAATATTTCAAGTTCTAACATTCTGTTAAAAATTTTGTTTTCAGTTATATATTTCACTTACTGTTAAACCAATCATTATTCAAGTAATTCTATTTTAAAAATTATAGGTAAGTATCTAGCAGTTATATATTTTACTTACTGTTAAACCAATCATTATTCAAGTAATTTTATTTTAAAAATTATACGTAAGTATCTAGACTAGTTTATAAGCATAACTTAATTTATAGGATACTTGAATTCTGCATCAGAGTTATTGATCTTACTGAGCTTCTAAATTCACCTGATATTATGTCGAACATTATTTCAGGTGAATGGAAAATATAAGGTGACACCTGAATGAGAATCATATTTTTATCGATTACTCTATTTTTTGTGTATAATTTTGATGTAAGATAAAAATCTAATCAAATATGTATATGATGAGAGTTTTAATGTGAAATAAATGCATACTAATATTTATTAGAAGTTTCGCAGTTAAATAATGAAAAACTTTAGATCTATATCTGCTCAATTGATTTGTGTTAATACTTAACTTCGGATTAAAAATTATTATATACGAGAATTTAGTTATCTCTATTACGCCTCGTGTTTGATCAAGAAGAGCCATCATGGGGCATGAAAATTGAGGGTAATTTCATCTTCCAAACATTAGTTACAGAGAGAATTAGGATCCTTTTCAATAAAAAAGTTTCAAGAATATCTTGTATATGGTATGCCATAGAAATACATGAAAACTTCACATAATACAAGGAGTTATATCAATTTGTAAAAACCCATTTTCCTTGCATTTGAAAAACTTCACCTAATGCAACCAAAATTTGTAATGCAATAGTTAATCAACATGTAGAACAGATTAATTATGATGGTCAGCAGAACAAAAATGATAAACCCACTAAATAAATGAGTGAAAATATACCTCTGGAGTTCCATGGCCAAAAACAAGAATCAAGTACAGCGTTTCAAATATGACAGATGAGTCAATGTGCTCATAGTTGTATAACTCCCCTAAAAATCTCATGTGAGCGATGCGCCGCTGCTGCATATTGTAGTTATTCAGTTCCAGTCCAATCCGAATCTCCTCCAATACCTGCAAACGGTATGTTCAACCCAATTAAGATTGGGTGACCGAAACAACAATCCTTTTATTAATGATCTCATGGATTATAAAGTTCAGTGAGGTAAGAAACAAAAGTTGTGTTTTTTCAAAAGAGGTCAACGAGCTAGGCAGATGCAATAGAAATCTTACTATCAATTACTCATTCTATTCAAAGAGATTTTCCATGAATAAAATGTGGAACAACACACTAACCCAAATTCTAACACAAAGCATCAGGGGCAGAGCCAGAAATTTTTTCATGTGGGGGCACAAATTATTGAATTAAAAAAAAAAACCTCAACCTCTTTCATCTTGGGCTTAGGACCGACATTGGCGGTTTAAATTTTTTTTTTAATTGCTAGATTCATTATGAGAAGATATAATATACAATTAAAAAAATTACAATTGAGAACATCAAATTTTGATATTCTTCTTCCATATTATAATTTCTCCCACCAAGTTTTCTTTTGAAATATATTTCCATATCTAATTTTAATGAAAAAAACTTTAACATTTCATTATAAGATTAACAAAATCACTACAATAAATTATGATCATTATTCACTAGTATAAATTAACAAATATATATACCATAGGATATATAACAACAAATTAAAAGTTAACTATGATCACTACTCAGTATTCACTACAATAAATTATCACTCTATGTTCCTAATAAATTAACAAAGATTCATAAATAAGTATTAAAGGCCAATTATGCATCTTGTTCTGAATATGGAATAATGGAAAGGACTAAGATTTTGAATAGTCTATAAATAAGTATTAAAACCGAACCATATTTCTTTAGGCGGTATTAAAGAGCAGTAAAAATAACCTTAATTATGTATTAATTAAGAGTTCAGTATAGGCCCGTGAACCCACGGCCCCCATACTAAATCCGCCACTGCAAAGCACCATTCCAATTACCAAAAAGTTTTTTAAAGTTTCATCAGATCTCGTAGTCAATGACTAGCATAAGTTTCAAAAATGAAATTTGGTGCAGTCCTTGCATGTTTAGATTAAAAATGCTAAAATATTTTGAAAAAACTTAAATCATGACCTCTACTATTTTTCAAAGGGTACTGGGTCTTCCTAGTTAAGCAATCTTATTGCAAATAAACAGAAATTCACCTCATCAACAACTGCAACTGCAAATTCATTGTGGTAGCGGCTGAGACCTGCTGTGAGCAAAGCAATCAAATGCACTTGACTGTACTTCCCCTTATGAACCTTCATAAAACACTTAAGAATATATTGTTCACACTCATCCCATGGAAGTTTGCGCAGTTGTCTAAGTACATGCTCAGCAGAGGACTTGTCAAGATCTGAGAAAAGCAATTTTCTGATATACTGCAACAAAGGAAAATATATAAATTTCAACTAAGCGTTAGTCTAAAAGTACAACAACATACAAGATTGCCTGCATATCATACCTGCTGCAATGGGGGGCGCACTTTGTTAACCCGAGCAGACCGTTCAGGTGGTTTGCACAAGTAATAGGCATTCTCCACAAGTGTGCTATGACGAGGATCTAAATTTTTTACATTTTTCAGACGCATCAATATTTCCAACATATTTGTCATGCGAATTGAAGTTTCAGGCGCACGATATAGAAAACGCCCACAAGTCTCAAGAAGGTTGCAAGCCACGTCGATGTTATGATGATTAAAATCATCCAAACAAGCCTGGTCAAATTAATAGTTGGCATAAATAGACACATCTTGCTCGCATCTCGGAATTGATTAGCTAGTAGATCATGTTGACAAGCAAAATACTAAGTACTAAAACCTATTCTAATTGTATAAACGAAAAATACAAAGATAAAAAATGAGAAGGAACAAGATACATCCAACAAAAAAGATCATCTCCTAGGGAAGTACTGCTTTATGTATTACGAAACCAAGGGCAAAGAAAAGAACGAATTGATCATGCCCTGCACAATTTTTTTGCATGCATTCATCAACATAGATAACGATTAGCCTCATTTTAGAAGCCAGGACTAAGATGTTTATGAAAAGACTGAATGACTATTTACCCAAATACATATCATGGAAGTAAATGTAACATTTAAGTTGAATAATTACTGATTGAACATTTATAACAAGAAAAAAGGAATCAACCACTTTCTTGACAATCATTTGGAAACATAAAAAATCTAAAATAGCCCCCAGACTATTTATTTGTGGTCAATTTAGTCTCAAAGTATCACATTGCTCAAATTTAGTCCCTCGACCATACAAAATATCCCTCATATTGTAATTTTGATATGCAATTGATCCCAATTTAATTCCTAAACTATATAAAAATGTTCCTAATTTAGTTCCAAAGGGACCATTTTGGATCAATTTTACATTTTGAATCAATTTTATGTAGTCGAGAAACTAAATAGGAGCAACTAGATACTTGGAGACTAAATTGGTCATATACTTAAAAATGGGGGACTATTTTGAAGTTTCTCCCCGTTTGGAAACAAAAGAAATCAGTGGATGTGTCCAATTTCTGATGCTTTGTAGGCATGAAATGCCTGGAAATTCTACAAAGGCTTGCTAATGCTACTAAAGGACTTTGTTCTTCACAGCAGTCCTAAAATTCCACAGCACAAAGCCTCATTCCTAATAACGACTTCTGGAAAAGTAGCAAAGGTGCATACATAATTATTAGATCCCAACATATTCACAATTCAATTAGTAAATCTTCTAATATCTCAGAATTACTCATTCTCCTTAGAATGTTTGAATCAATAAACTCATTCCATCTAACAAGAATTACGTAAGTTATTGTTAAGCAAAAATGCAAATGCATCCCTCCTTTATAGGAAAAAGTCTTTCAAAAATAACAACTAGGTTCCTCAAATTTTGAAAAAGCTTATCAAGCCCCTCCTGATGAGGATAGGAAAAGCAAGTAAATCTCTATTTTATTCTATCAAAAATAAACATTTATTTCCTTCAATCATAACTACCTTTCAGATAGGTCAGAAGTTCTCAAGGGTGACCACCTAATTTTAGTTTTCATCACTGTTCGAATCTCCCTAACATTTCTTTCATCCTTATCAGACCTACTGCACATTTCTTTCATCCTCATCAGACCTACCGCTAACACCAAGGACCTACAAGCTAGGAATTTCTAACATACTCAGCCTCACTATCTTATCACATATTTTCTCCGTCTGTTTTCCTATTCGACAACCCTTCTATTTATATCTAGTCTCCCACCCTCTTATTAGTTCTCTTCGTCACTCCCATCCATCTCATTAATTCTCCCTTCCAATCATCCTCTGCCTCAACTCCCTCTATGGATAATTGCGCATATGCAATTATGATAGGAAATACTTGAGTTAAAGAAACATCTGGAGAGGGGCCACACTGTTAGGCCGGCCCAAGAGGGGCCGGCTGGACCGGTCCAACCCGGACCGGTCCAACCCGGACCGGTCCTCACATACTCGCGACGGAACCGCACGGGAGGGGAGGAACCGAGCGGACGAGCGGAACCAACAGTGGGCCACGGAGGAATTTTGGGAGGGAAATTTTGAATGCGAGGGGCTGTTTAGACATTTTGTAAAACTCCTTTATGGTTAATTAGGAGGTTAGGAGGAAAAGGGGAGATCATCTTGAATTTGATTTTTTTTTTAGATCTAGGATTTGGTGTTCTTGGGCTCTTCCGCTTAGGGGGAGGAGGAATCCGGATGTAGAGATCCTTGAGGGAGAAGACAACATGCCACCTCTAGAGCCACTTTCTAGAGAGAAGATGAGCATGGGAAATGATCGAAGATGTGCTGATTTTAGCGGAAGAAGAGAGGAATTTCAGCGTCGAGGTGCTGATTTTGAAGGCAGGAGAGGGGAATATGATGGAAGTACAGATGTCATCCTGGGATGAAATGGCCCATGCCCAAGAACATCAGAGGGTTAAAGGGGTTTCTTGGGACTGACGGGATACTATAGGAGGTTTGTGAAGGGGCACAGTTCCATCGCTTGGCCATTGACGGAGCAGCTGAAGAAAGACAACTTCTCCTGGGGTGATGCAGCGACCCAGGCCTTCGAAAGGTTGAAGAAAGTCATAACCTCCCATTCCTCGAAGAGGAGGTACTGCCCAAGTGTCCCGGTGCCTAACATAACCTCCCATTCATCAAGTATTACCTTAGGGTTACTTGCAAACTCAAGTATTTCCTATCAAATTACCTCATCCAAGCCAGGCTAGGAAACTAAGATTGATTCAAACAAAATCAAACTGATTTAAAACAAAAAAAATTGTGGAATCAATCAGAAAAATCAAAAAGGAATTATAAGACAATGGAATCGTAACCGCAGATCATTCAAATCTTCCATCTCTTCTGCCAACCAACCATACACCCTCACCATTTGCCCTGTGTCCCCCACCGCCCCCTCCTGGGAAAATAATTTTTAATTAAAAAAAAAAAGCCACATTCGCTTCAATCTCTTTTTACTTTCTTTGTATTCCTTCCAATTTGATATTTGTGCCACTAACAATGTTAGCAAAAGGAATGCCTCTTCTTTATACTATCATCATTGATGCAAATACCACGAAGCTTTGCCATATTCCTCTGCCATTGCTACCACCAAGCATCCTAAGGTGCAAAAGACTAGAAAGAAGCTTGTATTAGGTGGCAAGAACAATGAAAAGTTGCTTGAAACTTTTAAAGTATTAACAGTACTTGTTAGGATAACAAAATCCCAATTCGATCCAGCAAAACTTATTAAGTAAAATTGAATATCGAGGTGACCCACAAGCACTGAAGAAAGCCCAATTTAACTCCATTTGACTGAAGTAATACTCCAACAAACTCAAAATTTCATGGTCAACAAACCCCCCAAAAAAAGTTTCAAAAAATTGCGCCAAATTCATGAATGCTTGAACCAATCGAACAAGGGCTCAAATGAGCTTGACTGTTACAATAAAGATCAACCAGCACAGCTTCGATTGGGCCAACTTCATAAGTTGTGATGTCGTTGCATGCATATAGGAGGCCCACTGAGCCAACCCTTATGAACCCTTGAGATTATTATTATCCATTACAATTCAAAAGATCCACTTTTCTCAAAGTCATTGCAACTCCCACACTCCATCATTTCACAAGTCATTTTGGGTAAACACTCTCACTGATAAACAATACTGCTCATTGCTCATTTTACCAGATTCATTCAAGAGGTGGCAAACTTTCTGGTGCCTAATCCCGTAGATCAGCACATCGAAACTTTGATATGTTGCCACCTATTCTACTCATGACATTATTGCTTGCAACATGGTCTCATCAGATTGGAAATTCAAGACTTCAATGGTGGCCATTGTCAGTTGCTATTATAAGACATCACCAAATGTCTGAGCTAGCTTAGGTCAAGGTTGATTACACCAGAGGCAAGCCTCAGCTGATCATCTTTCCATGATGAGGAACTTCGGTCTACACTTCTATTATAAACAAGCATAGAAAACAATCAGATAATAATCTAACCATCCAAAATATATAAATAAAGCTTAAATTCAAATCATTTACAAGATTGTTTTTACAATTTGGAACTCTACAAAAAATTTTCTCACCTCCACTAATGATGATGCTTTGAATTAATTGAAGTTCAAGATTGTTGCAAAAAACACAATGCAGTCTACCCAACACCACATGAAGATGCCTCCATTTCTGTTATCTTTGGCAAATGTTGTTATCATTCTTTACACTTGCGTGTAACTTGTGTGGTGGCTACGACTCTCAATCATCCTTTTGCCTACAAATGAGGCAATTTGTATGGAGTCTTTCTAATTATTGGAAGGTAGAGAGCTACTTATATGACTTTCTACAACTAGAGGGTTTGTGCAATTGGGCCATACCACATGATTTTTTTCAATTGGATTTTCGTCGTAAAAAATTATCTTTATCATTAGCTCTACATGTCTTCAAATTTGTTATCTAAAACAAGCATTAAACACGCATAACTTTTTTAACTCTTCCCCGGCGAGAAACATTTTAGTAGGGGTGTAATGTCACATCAAACCAAAAAGTTAATACTACAGGACACAATGACCACTTTGACCTTTCTAATAAATTATAATTTTTGTAGGGCCACTCCTGTTACACTAATTAGGTAAACCATTTTTTTTATAAAAATTGAATCATAAATTATGCCCCTCCCACTTCTGCACACATTTATCATTTTTAAAATATCTTTCCCTTTATCTGACAAACTACTAAAGCAACATAATATGGAAATCAAAATTTAGTATTATCAATTTAAGTAAAATAATATATGAATTCTCCAAAAATTTTACGTTACTATTTATGCATAAAAGCAGCTTCACGCCCAAGATGTATTCTGTAAAATAATTTCCACTCTTTGCCATGTCTTAATGTAAATGTTCTGTACTTCTGTTAAGCCATATCAAAAATTCGAGTCAACAGTCCAAAAACCACACGCACATAGGGGTAACAAAAATTTATATGACACGAAAACTCAACTCGAACCCAACCAGAATTTCTCATGTTAGGGGCACCGTTTTAAGAACGGGTCGGATTCAAGTCCCAATTTTCGACCCGTTTTGAATTTTGGGAAGATTTGGGTCAACCTAGAAACTCGATTTGGATCCGGTTTTGACCTGCTGCGTGCCCATCTCGCACACAAATGACAGAACTGCATGCCCATCTGGCCATCTCGTGCACGCACGGCCCAACCGCTGCCCTCGCCCCGCGCTCCCGCACGTCTTGCCTTGCCTGCCAGCTGCTAGAAAAAGGCGTCACCAACACCTGCAAGGATTGTGAAAGGACCCTCCTCGACTCCTTCCGCTTCTGCTCTCTTGGCTGCAAGGTCCCATCTTTTTTTCCCTTTTTCTTCTCATTGTAACCACCATTACTTCTTAATCCCCTTTCTCTAAAAGGTTCATGGTTTTAAATATAGTTGACACTTCTAATGACCCCGACAAGATGAAGAAGAGGATGAAGAATCGAGTAACTACGACATCCGGTTCGGAGGAAACCTACTCGAGTACGAGCCATGGAAGCGAGAAGAGCACAGTGGTGCATAGCTTAAATCCTTCAACTCCTCTGCCGATCGTTGTTAGCTTTCGAAGCACTACGAGGAGGAAGGGCATTCTGCATCGAGCTCCTTTCAGTAGCCTTATCCTTGAATTTTAGAAAAGCAAGAAGAAATCCCAACTACATCTCTCTTCAATGTGTTGTCTTCACCTATAAATATATGTATAAAAGAAGATGGCTTCCAACTCGCCAGCACTCTATTCACTCCCGCGGATCTCGCTCACCCCCGTCCCTGCCACGTCTCGCCTAATCGGGTCGGGTCGAGTTAACTTTGTAACCCGGCAGGTCGGATCCGACTTGCTATTTCTGACCTTTTTGCAAAAACGGGTCTGGTCAAACAATGGCAGGTTAATGTCAAGTTCGACCCAAATCCGACCAGTAACTAGTATTTAACACCCCTACACACAGAGAAGCCTCAGCAAACTCCGAGTGAGTTGCAATGGCCTAGAGCAACCAGTAGCATTTCCATCCATAAAAAGCTCCTTAACAACGTGACAATGTCTGTGGCACCAATTAATGGCATGTGTATAGGATGGGATTAGGAAGCTACTTGCTTCACCAACAACAAACTTAAGGACATGCGTAACTTTTAAAAGGAACTGGACTAATAAAACTTTTATTAATAAATAATGACGAACCTAGTTTCACATCAGCAATTTTAATATATTACCAAGAAGAAAAAATATACAACGCTCCTCTCACAAAAAAGTCCATAGCTCAAACTTATGACAACGGGTATTGGAGGGCTAAGAAACAGAAATTTTAATTTGTGCTTACATTGACTTTTCTAAACTCCACCATTATTTACAAAGTTCACATTTATGAACGTAAGAAGTTTGTCACTAATTATAGTAACATTGTTCTAGTGAAATTTACAATTCAAGCTTTTCTTGCTGTACCAGCAAATGCCTCATTATTGTGTAAGCGTGAAGAAATATTGCAAACCATGTAAGCTCATCAACATACCTTTAAGCAAGTAAAAACAAGACCTGAAGGTGCAATTCTAAATTTGCACAGCTCGCCAATAAACCTGATATTCTTTATCTTCGTCTCAATATTTGTTTGATCCTGGAAGAAACAACGCCGCTAAGTCCAATGATGCAATGTGAATCATTATCATCAGCAAACAACAGCATAGTAAAAATACATGTACACAAACAAACCTTCTTATTTATCAAAAAGTTGAACTCCTCTTCGAGCAATGATACAAGAATACTTGGAACATCCTTCATACACGTTGATAACGTTGCAACCATGCGAGAATAGTATGGCAATAACTCTAAAGACGTTCTAGGAACATTAAACAAAGCCCGTACAAGCTTCTTCCGATTTGCTTTGGAATTTAAATAGCAAAACTCCACCTGATAAAAAATATTTTATTATGTAAGCTTGTACTTCGTACATCGTTATATTCCACTAAGTTAATGGCCATTACCGTTAGCTGGTCAATAAGATCACGGCTTACACAACCTGGAAGTCTTTGCAACAGAGCATCCAAACTTGCACCATCAAGAGCTTTCAACTTATCCTTCTCATCCCCTTTCCTCTCGGATTCCTTCACTTTATGTTTCTCTTTTTCGGCCTCTTTACCTTTTTCCTTGTCTTTTTCTTCATCTTTAGCCTTTTCATCTGCTTTCCCATCAAGGGACAATTCTGTGTCTACATTGACTTCAACATTCTCTTGCACTACATTTTCTGGCTCTAGAGCATGTTCCTTAATAAAAATAAATGAGTTTATAAGAAAATATTCCAAACAACATACAGAGTCAACAAATAATCTGCCAAACACAGCGACACAATATTGCAGTATAAATATTATAAGAATACATCCGAAAAACATATCAAAGAGGAAAAAACGTGGCAGCAATTACTACCAAAATGATGGGGTATGTAAAAAAGATAAACAGGATTGCCCTCACTAAACATGCAGACGTGGTAGTTATCTTATCAAAATGGCCAAGCAAAGAATATATGGTTTACAATGCAACTTCCTGAGGTCAATAAACAATTCTTAAAACAAAGCAAAGCCCAGAAGTGTTTTTTTTTCCCCCCAAAAAGCCACTTCTAAAAGAACAGTCACTACAACTGTAAAAGATAGTAGAAGAATATGGAAGGTTCCCTAAAAAAAAGGCTAAGATGTTAATTTTAGCAAGAGAAAAATTATTAAAAAAATAGATAACATAAAAAGTAGCAACAGCTAGACTTGTGGCCAAATTTCATTGTTGACCTCCATGGAGTCGAGCACATTCGACGAAAACGACATCACATGTAACGAGTTCGAGAAGCCACTTTCGCAACCGAAATCATTTGAACACCGCCATTAATGAAACAGTATAAATAGACACATTCAAGATGTCTGAATTTAAGCAAGATGAACCACCCACACTCGACTCAATCGAACAAATGAAGAAAACGATAGTCTACAGACACTACGTCGTGCGAAATCACCCCCAACATTGTTTGTTCATGAAATGTATCACATCATTAAATCTAGAACATCGAAATTATCAAAAAAGGACCTCTCGTGATCAATTCAAGAAAATGCAGTCGAAAACGCTAGTCTACAGAAGCGAAGTTGTGTGAAGTGATCCAAACATTGTCCGTTTGTGGAGCACATTGTCTCGATGTGTCGGAACATTAAAATTAACTAGAAATAACACTAATATTGCTTATAGTTCACGCCACAAGTTAAAACATAAAGTTTGCTCTCATGTGAGTTGATGGCACGCAAATTGAGACACATGAAATGAAAAAACACTCAAAAAATGATTTACAATTCTTTTGTATTATTTAATTCCATTTATTATTATAATTTTATTTTAAAAAAAAAAGGAAGAAATGCTTACCTATAACTTCTTGAGCCCCCCGAATCCAACACAATCTTATATATCCACAACATTAATGTCTGTAAATTGGCTGGCAGTAACAAAGCAAAAAAGAAAACCTAATAAATCTCCCTCATGTGGCATTCAATCCTGGAGGCACTCGCCCAACCCAGATTTTGCACACAGCCGCACACACCATGCATAACCCTCTTGTATCTATACCCTTTCACTTCTTGTATCTATACCCTTTCACTTCTACCGAAATTTCCAAAACCTTCAACGGCAATAAAGCATGGAAGCCGCAAGATTTCACTAGAGAACACAATAATGGGGCTAGTTGCATGTAAAAAAGGAAGAGATGGAGAGTCCACAATTTTAATTTAGATCGGCCTAAAACCCTCGTCAGTGACTCGCCATTCATTTAAAGCTAAGGTGACTCGAAATTTTTTCTTATTTCACAAGGGTTTTATACTGCAATTCATGGAATTGTCCCAAACCAGCTTAAAAAGTGATTTCCATGTCCACATAGTTGATTGGTCTTAGCACAACAATTTGGTTGGGGGACTAGACAATTACAATTATTTATAGAATGTAAAGGATTTAACTCCCAATGAAAGAAGAGGATGCGAACAAATAAAAAATGATCATTCTCATTCCATTGTCTCCACCAAGCCAACAAATTATGCAATAGATGAGGTCAAAATTAACCAATAATAACAACATGCCTTATACCACTCCGTGGGTCTACTACATGAATCTTTTTTTTCTCCATTGTATCTTACTAAGAGTCAACTTCTCAATTAAATCTAATAAAACCTATCATTTTTAATACTTTCTAACTAAGTCCTTTTAAGTTCACCTCTATTTTTTTAACATAGGACGGATCTAATACATCTACTCTCCTAACAGGATCATCGGAAGGACTGAGTTCTCTATGAACAAACCATTTAAGGAGACTCTCTCTCATCTTATCTTCCACTTAAGCTACTCCAACCTTGTCAAGTATATACTTGTTTCACATTCTGTCACTAAGTGCAAAGCCACCCATTAACCTAAGCATCATCTCTGCAACACAGAAACTTAATTTTATGCTTCTCTTTTAATGACCAAAATTTTGCACCATAAAGTATTACAGTTCTCACCAGCATCTTATACATACATAATGAACGGAGATAACTAAAATTGTTCTTGCTCAAAAGAAAAATTGATGCAATCAAAAATTTGGGAGAGGGACCCAAATTTTTTATCACAAAAGAAAAAACTCTTTCTAGGATCTAGAAAATATCAAGAACTCATAAAACTAGACAAATTAAAACAAACATAAAACTTTTTATATCATAAAAGGACTTACAAACAAAAACTCTTACAAACGACGCTTACAACTTGGACGCTTACAAACTTTGACACAAACATGACTTAAACATCAATCCTAAAACTGCATTTTCTTGAGAAGAAGGATACAATGGAGTGGATACTTGCGGAGAGACAAAAGAGGTTAGAAGCCAAGACGAAGATTGGAAAGAGCTCGCAAGATTTCCATAGAAGTAGAAGAAGAAGAGGTGGAACAAAGCTCTCAAGCTTTTTCCAAGAAAAACCTCTCAGGTTTTGTCCCAAAAATCACATTATAACACACCTAAATTAGCCACAAAACATTCTCTATATATAGGCATGAAAGGGGAATATAAACAGCCCAAAATATTAATTAAAAGCTGAAAATATAAGGTCAAAAGGCACCTTAAAACTGCACAGAAAACAGTAAAAAACTCTTGAAATTCTCCCCAAACAGCCACCAAATCAATCCCAAAAACTGTCCAAAAATCTGTCCCAAAACAGCCCCAAAATATCTTCAAATACCCAAATAAATGAGGGAAATGAAAGACCAATAGTCACTTTACTGAAATCCCAAACGGCACAGCAAAATACAAGGAAGGAGGCCACGGTTCCAGCAGCCGAGCACAGGAAACCAGCAGGCAATTTTCGGGTTCCAGCAGGTAAGTTCAATTCAAGGTAAAAAGGGGGCCACGGTAATAAAGAGGGCAGCAAACCGAAGGGTCAGCAGCAACCCGTGGGAGGAAAACCAGCAGAAAAATTGCAGCAGCCCAAGAGTCAACAGGAGCTACTGTGGGATTTTGTAGGGTTTGATCAACAATGGAATGGATTTCGTTTGTGTGCGAGACGGACGAAAGTCATGGGCTCGCATGTGAGTCGCGATTGTGGGTGACAGACGGAAGGGCTGGATCGGGGTTTTGGTGTCGTTCGGGTTGCCCAGGAGGTACTTAGGCCGAGTGGAAGGCTGCCTTCGAAACGCCTGTTCGATTAGGCTCGAGCAAGTTAAAGGTGGGTGGTGTGATGTAATGCAAACAGGAGAGAGGGGGATCAAGCGGGAGACGAAGGAGAACGAGAGCCGAAGTCGAGAGGTGTCGAGAGCAAGAAATCGACGAACAGAGCAATCCAAAACCCGTGAGTCCCCTGTTATGT